GTGAGGAGAGTTGCATAAAAAATATTTTCCTAAAAAAACTATTTTCTACTCTCTAACCAAACAATAGAAAATATTTTCCGGAAAATATTTTCCACTTACCAACCAAACAAGAGAAAATAAGTGATAAAACCACTCATTTTTCATGAAAACATTTTCTAGGAAAACATTTTCCATGGAAAACATTTTCCTTCGTACCAAACACACCCTTAGATTTATTAATATCACTTGAATGATAAGACGATGAATAAATGTTGAATACTACTTTTAATGCGAAAGAATTACTAAATTAATTCTTACGAGTACCAGAATTTTAGAGTTTATTATTTAGATTAAGTTTAAAGTCAAAGTCAATACNCAATTTTTTAGAGACTTCGGGAAGGGGTGGGGGGAGGGGGGAGGTGGGAGGGGGGAGGGGGGAGGGGGTGAGGAGAGTTGCATAAAAAATATTTTCCTAAAAAAACTATTTTCTACTCTCTAACCAAACAATAGAAAATATTTTCCGGAAAATATTTTCCACTTACCAACCAAACAAGAGAAAATAAGTGATAAAACCACTCATTTTTCATGAAAACATTTTCTAGGAAAACATTTTCCATGGAAAACATTTTCCTTCGTACCAAACACACCCTTAGATTTATTAATATCACTTGAATGATAAGACGATGAATAAATGTTGAATACTACTTTTAATGCGAAAGAATTACTAAATTAATTCTTACGAGTACCAGAATTTTAGAGTTTATTATTTAGATTAAGTTTAAAGTCAAAGTCAATACCTCAATCGTTTATTATGTTCTGTTTAACTATTTGTCTTTTCTAAAGGACAATTGCAAATATCTTTCGTATCAGTGATTGTTATAAGTTATAACCAAGAAGCAAAAAAAATTGCGTACCCATTATCCTTTTCCATGTCCACATTAATTTTTCAAAAGTACAAATGCAAGAATTTAAGCATTTTTTAGTTGTTAAAAGGCGATGATGACACCATAGCAACTATTATTAATCTGCCACATCAATTTGTGTATCATTAATTAAGTGTTGCTCATAGTATAATAATCCATACTGTTAAGCATGTATTGCCACTATAATAAAGCATGTTTAGTCCAACACATGTTTTTGGTGTGTTTATTTTCGCAACTTCTGTGGAATAATAATGTACGTCGGTTTATTTGTACAAGAAACTCATCCCAAACATTATGGCGAAGATGACAATGTATAGCCGCTCTCAAAATAAATATCGAAAAAATGTATATTTGTTTAATATTTTTTTGTATATATATACATTCTACATGTTATATACAAAACTTAGACAAATTTAATACTACTTTTTCGGCTATCGAATGTATATAATTTAGGCGCGGACTAAAAGTGATAATTTGCTTGTACTAATATGTAATACTCCTCATTAAAAAAAAAATCAACAGGGTAATTAAGTAATTTGTAAAAAAAGGAAAAAGAAAAAGAAAAAGAAAAAAAAGAATAACTAACCAAAAGAAAAAAAAGTACAATAAGAGATGAATTAGGCTCAAAGCCCTACGTTAACTATCAAAGGAATTGGGGGCAAGAAATTTAACTCGGCAGAAGCAAAAAACGCACAGAAGCATCCAAGGCAAAACCACAAAGTGGGTTTTTCTCTTTTCTAGCAAAGGGATTTACGGAGGAGGAGAATAAGTTAGGTAATTGAATCCTAAATTTTTTCCATGGTAATTTATATAAGTCTTTTTTTTTTTTTTGGTAATTAGGAATTTTCATTAATCACCAATGAAGCATTACAAAACCATAGTTGGCTTACATACTCAGCCTATTGTCTTTGAGATGTATCTCTCTCCCCTATACATGTAATTACAGTACTCATTTCCTCTCTACTTATATTTACATCAAAACTGAAAATTCTGTATAAGCTGCCTATTTTGATTTGTTGCTCTAACATTACATATGCATGCTATGTTCCTAGCTAAGTCTTCAGCTTTCTTGCTTTGCTTTTCAAATATCCTAAGGTTTCTCTCGTTCCATATCTCATGAATTGCTTCTGCATATACCATTCTGAATATTCCTGCTTTACTTGATTTCCCTCTTGCATTCTTAGCTGCCCGTTGCCAGTGTTGATCCCAGGATGTTGCCCACAGTTGTTGCCTTTGCATCCATTTCAGTAGCTTTGTCCAAACATTCTTAGTATACTCACATTCAATGAAGATATGATTTCTGTTTTCATCATGTTTTTGACATAGACTGCATTCCCTGTCCACCTGCATCCCCATTTACTCAATTTGTCACTAGTTAGCATCCTGTCATGGAAGTATAGCCACATAGTGAACTTAGCTTTTGCCCTTGCTTCATTTCCATACATGAACATCTTCCATTCTACCTTTGGTAATTGTCCCAACATAGCCAAATATAACTGTCTGATCATGCTATTATTCTGCTTTTGCTGGATATGAATTGTTGTCACTGATCTTCTTGCCTCTATCATTTTTCTAACTAGCCAGGATGCCTGCTGTGGTATTGGCATATTAGATATCTGTTGCCCTTTTATATAGTATGCATGAATCCATTTGATCCACATCTTGTCCTCTTTATTTGCTAGATCCCAGTAATTCTTTGCTGCTGCTGCTGCTTTGTTCCATAGCTTAAGGTTGATTAGGTTCGGTCCCCCAACACTTTTAGGTGTGCACAATTTGTCCCATGCCACCAAAGATCTTCTTGTGATAGTATTAACTCCTGACCATACATAGCTTCCGCAGTATGCCTCAATAGTCTTCAGTACCTTGCTAGGTATTAGAAACAGTTGAGACCAATAAGCCTGAATACCAAATAGCACAGATTACTAATTGAATTCTTCCAGCATATGAGAGTTTTTTTGTTGTCCATGAAGAGATCCTTGCCACCATCTTTTCAATAAGTGGCTGCCATTGAGCTATGTACATCTTCTTAGTGGTTAGGGGTACTCCAAGGTATTTAACTGGCAGTGTACCTCTAGAGTAACCAAATTTCTGGACTATCTCATCACTTACCAACTGAGTAACTCCTCCAAAGAAAATTGAGCTCTTTTCATGATTAGCCTTTAAACTTGAAGCTGCATAGAAATGATTAAGACAGTGTTGTAGTTGAGTTATTGAGGTCATGTCACCCCTTGCAAATAATAGCAGATCATCTGCAAAGCTCAGATGAGTTATGCCATGCTTAGCACACCTTGGGTGATATTTGAATTCCTTTTCTTTCCTCAGTCCATTCAAGCTTCTACTCAGGTACTCCATAGCAATTGCAAAGAGGAAAGGAGACATGGGGTCTCCCTGTCTCAATCCCTTTGCAGCTGGAAATGGTTCAGCAGGTTCTCCATTGATGATAATTGAGTAGAAAACGGTCTTCATACATGTAAGCACCCATTGGAGGAACTTAATAGGAAATCCCAACTCAATCATTACCTGTTCCAAGAATATCCATTCTACAGAGTCATAAGAATATATGAGATTTTCTTTACTCAATACTTAGCATAATATTAGTGATTATTTTGTTAACTAAGAGAAGAAACAAATAAATTTACGTTACTTTTAATTTAGTACAAACATGGATTCTCATTAGATGAATAAGTATTTTTTTAATCTTATAGCAAATAATTTAGTCTAGTGTAGAATCTTGAATGCTTGTAAGGCACTACGTGAGGACAAGAAACAGTTTCATATGAAAATAAATCAAATTCTTAATGCCCATTTGTATATAGTAGTATCAATAAATTATAGGATCAAACAGAGATTCAAAGGCTTTTGTTGAAGGCATTATTTTACAATTCAGAGGGTAAATTTTCTTACTTCAATTTGGTTAAGATTATCATCTCGGTGTATGTAACTGCGTTAGGTACGAAAGAAATTATTGTTGGCAGTGATCCTATATGATTTAGATTTATACATATGTTTGGCATAATCTGGGATAAAGGAAAAATATTGAAGAATTAATATACGAGTAAGTTGGTATTGATAGGTTATAGACTAGTTGAATTACTCATAGTATAGAGAAATATAATTCGGCAAATTGATGGTAGAACATAAAACTCTGAGGATTTGGGTAATCTAAATTAGCCATGAATTAGCTTAAGCAAAGAAATTAACACGATATCGATATTGGTGTGATTATAGATTGATTGAAGAAAATCATACAGATCGCTCGAGGTGACGAGTTTGATATTTCGACACGAGTACTATGAGTAGTAATCTTACCACAATTTGTATTTTCATAACCTGCAGGGTTTATACGTTATTTTGAAAATAAAATATGTTACCGAATGTTTGAAAATGCATGTGGGACAAGTCCTTTACTTGATATGGTACTGAACAATTTACTGGAGATGTTTACCGTTATTTAAAATATTCTCACTGTTATTAGACATGTTTTACTGTTACTTGAGATATGGGTTACCATTACCGAAATGGATTTACATGATTTGATAAGAATTGATATGCCCTTTATTATTTTGAAAATGCTTTCTTATGGATATTTACTGGTTACAAGAAAAAGTATAAATGGGAGGAGACTTTGAAGGATCCCGTAGCTAACGGCGGGTTCGTTAGACCTGGTGCACCTTGTATTTACAGATTACCGAGTACAGTTATAGCCCTCGCTAGCGGGAAGGTAGAACTAGCATACAGTTACGGTTTTTCCTCGAGTAGGGACCTACAGTTATATTTGACTCCTTTTACGAAGAGGTCCATACAGTGATACATATTACATGATCCTTTTCTGGAAACCTCCCAAATATAAAGATTTGCTATGACACTATTTACCGAGTTTATTATTGAATTATTAAATTGATTTTGTTACAGGAAACACATGATGAGACTGATTATTATTACCGTTTTAAAAAGGGCATTTTATTTGGAGATTATGATACAAGCATTTTTTTCTGACTTGTCCCCTATTAAAACGGTTGTGGTTAAGTATTTTTACTCACTGAGCTAGCGACTCATTCACCGCTAATAGTTTTACAGAGACAGCAGTAGACGCAGGCAAGAATTCCGTTAATTAGAGTACACGAGTTGGCAGTTCCCGGTGAGCCCCGCATTTATTCGCGTGGGCAAAAATTCTTATTTTATTTGTTATAATCTCTTTCTTGAAACTCTTAGAGTCGCTCCATAGTCATTTTTATGAGTGTCATAAGTATTCTTTTGTTGATATAGACTTGTGATTCGTATTAGACTTTCCTATCGTATACTTGGAGATGAAGTTAGTATTATTGTGTTGGAAATATTTGGTGAATGAGGATTATAACTTGTTTGGTCGATATAGGTTGGTTGTGTTGTTGATTTCTAAGAGAGGTTTATTTTCAGATAGTCCTAAAACAAGGGAAACTCTTTCCGATTTTTTGTAAATTATCGATGAGGCTTACTTGAGAGCACTTGCTCCTAAGCGCGATCATGATCCTAAATTGGGTTGTGACATAATAAGACTGCCAATTAGTTTGAGTCACATTAATAGCTCCTCTAAAATATGAAAGGAACAATGATATCTCTAAATTATGCAAGGCAGTAAAGAAACAAAGAAAGAAAGCTCAACCTATGGAAGATGTAATTCAAATGGTACATCTCCCTTAGTCCTAGTTAAAGCCTTTAGCCATCTTAATCCATCAATAAAACATTATTCTTCTATTGATGGCAAATTTTCAACTTTTACAACTAATATACATGAATCTTGTCCATCTTATTGTTTCTTCCCTTGTGCTAAGCTAATGCGCATTGCCCTTCCATCCAGTTCCTGAAATGCACAAATACAAAAGGGGCATAAATTGTAGAAGTTCATTCATTTTCTCAAGAAATGACAACCAGGTTTAGAAGTAAAGGCGGATCCTGAATTTTAATTATATGGATTCAAGATTTTGATTTCAACTATTGAACACATCACTTTGTTTGAATTATGGATAAATAGCTCAACTTTTAAAGTAATTTTAGTGAATTTTATACTGAAAATCTAGGTATAACTATAATGGTTGGATTTGCCCCTATTTAGAAGCAACAAATTATATAGGCTTTCAGATAGTTTCTTTTGAAAAAAGCAGTCCAAAGTATGAACATGAAGTGATCTTCTTCTAGTTTGGGGGACAAAATCCGACATTTAAGTTTTACGCACTAATGATGTAAAAATATGTATAAAAAAGGATAGCACAGTACATTAAGCTCCCGTTATGTGCAGAGTTCGGGAAAGGGTCGGACCATAAGGGTTTATTTTATGCAGTCTTACCCTGCATTTCTGCAAGAGCCTATTTCCACGGCTTGAACCCGTGACCTCCAAATCATATGACAACAACTTTACTAGTTACGCCAAGACTCCACTAATAATAACAGTAACCAACTTGTTATAATATGTTAAATTCCACTGACTACTAGTATAATTTTTTTACGCGATTAGTATATATAACTTATAGCCTGTTTGGCCAAGCTGCAAAAATCAGTTTATTTTGAGAAGTGCTTTTTTTCAAAAGTGCTTTTCTCAAAAGTACTTTTGGTGAGAAGCAGTTTGTGTTTGGCTAATTAGTTTGAAAAGCACTTCTGAGCAACAATTAGTGTTTGACCAAGCTTTAAAAAACTGTTTCTAAGTGTATTTTTCTCAAAAGTGCTTCTCGAAAAAGTGCTTTTGGAGAGAAGCTACTTTTTTCTGCTTCTCCAAAAACTCCTTCTGCTTCTCCTCAAAAGCACTTTTTTTCCTTCCAAAAGCTTGGCCAAACACCTCAATTTTTGGCAAAAAAAAAAAAACACTTTTGGCCAAAAAGAAGCTTGGCCAAACAGGCTATTAATCCTTTCTCAAGAAGTGATCTAAACTAATGAAATGCTTCAAAAAGTAAGTTCAAGAAATGCATACCACTCCATTAAGATTTTGAAGGGCATTCTCCAATTGTTCTCTATTCTCATAGCTCACAAAACCATAGCCACGAGATCTCCCTGTCTCACCATCGTATAGTACCCTAGCTCCAACCACAGTTCCATATTCTTGAAATGCTTGTGCCAAACTTTCAGATGTGACTGACCAGGCCAAATTACCAACAAAGAGTTTGTGTTCAGTTTCTGGGTAAAGGGGTTCTTTTGGTTTAGGCTTGTCTGAGAAATTCACCCTTAAGGTTCTCCCACCATACTCCTGAAATCAGTAAATCTTGCTTCAATTTTATAGCCTCGAATCAGCTCAAATTCAGAAATATTTTGTGATTCGCGAAAGGAAATTGAATTAATTTCTTACTCTTCCGTCTAGATTTTCGATTACTGTTCTGCAATCTTCAAGAGAACTCATTGTCACAAATGCAAATCCTCTGCTTTTACCTGTTTCCCTATCATAAAGAACCTGGACATAGAAGATATATAATGTGGTTCAAAAATTGGATACAGGAACCTAGCCTGTAGATCAAACACTTAATCTACTTCATGAAGTAACTATAACATAATAAGATTTCAAATATTCAATCCTGATCCGGTGCAAGTCGTTAGCAAGAAAATAATATTTGTATATAAACAATGGAGTGAAAAATAGGTAACTAATTTAACACTTCAGATCCCTGGTGTACATCATCTCCATGAGAAGGTGTACCATTTTCCGAATTGTTAGATTTCGCCTCAAGGGTAACCCAAAGAGAACTCAAAACTTCAGTTTGAATCAAATTTAACATATTTTTCTTTACACAAACCAAGGTGAAAGTATATAAACAACAATTATGCCTTGTCTTACTCCTAGACAAGTTACAGTCAGACTATCATTGATCAACATATTTAGGTCACCTAGGTGAAAGTACATGAACCAAGATATTTAGGCCAAGCCAACCCAAAAATATTTTTGGCAGGTGTAACATAGTCCTCTTTTGGTTAAGTCTGCACAATTTATTTCTCAAAATGTGTCACACCATTGAGATTATTTCTACACCTTATTATTTGTATCTTCTTTTACTTATTAAAATATCAATATACGACGTTATCTCACACCCAACATATCTTATAGATTAAGCCACTAATCTCTTAACCAAGCACAAGAAAACATAAAAGCTTTATTTTGATCCATTCTTAAATTGGGTTGAATTATCACATATACGATTATAAAGCAAGCAGTTACCTTATAAAACTAAAAGCTTTTTTCTTTTATTCCAAATTTTAGTAAAGTACATACCTCAACAAGCTCAGGAGTAGCATAGTCTTGAACAATTCCAGCAAGTTGTGCACTATCACAAAGATACGGCAAATTCCCAAAATAAAGCTTAGTATTCACACCTTCACCTTCACTACTACTCTCTTCAGAACCCTCTCCTCCTTTTTCCTCCACCACCACTTCCTCTTCAACCGCCACCGCCTCGGCCTCTTCCTCCTCCACCGTCACCGCCGCTGCCTCCTCTTGCGCCACCGCAGCCGCCAACCTCGGCACCACCCTCCACTTCTTAAAAACTGAAGTCACTTCACATGATGATGAAAATACTAACGTAATATTTGGTGTTCTAGTGGATGAAATTTTGAGGAGATGATCAGAGTTATAATTAGGCCATGTTTTAGAACGTATAGAATGAAGAGTAGTGGAGAATGAAGAAGCTACTGCTGTGGCAGCTGTGGCCGCCATGTTTTTGCCGGAATCTTAGTTGAAATGCGGTGGTGATTTGATCGGAGATTTTACAAAAGTGTAGAGAAGTATGGGGTTATTACAGTGTGTTTTGAGTGCTGATGTGTGGAAATGAAATCCAAAGAGATAGGAGAAATATACATGAGGTGGATATAACTGATAAGGTTTTTGGATTTTTGCTTTTCTTGTCGTGTTGAAAATTGAGCTCTATTTTATTGGTCTTTTTGTAACGTTGGTGTTTTCTTAGCCACAGTTTATTTCTTTTATTGTTTATTTTTTATGTTGAAAAACTTCTAAAGAGAAATGGAAAAAGTAATTTGAACCATAAGTATAATTAGAGTTGCAGTCAAATTATAGCAGCTATGTCATGTCTAGTTGCTGCACATATCGTGTTGATGTACCCACTAACTATATGTTTATCTAAAATTCCTTTTATGTTATAAAACAATAAATGAAGAAGAAGAGTATTGCAGAAAAAAGTAGAGAGCGGAATTTTTATTGATATTGGATGAATTACAATGGAATAGAACCATGTATTTATAGGGAGAGGGTCATTTAGCCACCAAGTAATGAACCCTAGAATCTTTCTAAATATAGACATTCACCATAAATAAAATTCTATTTATAACACCTCTGCTTGAATGTCTATTTAACAAATAATGTGCCTCGTTAAAACCTTAACTAAACTAAAACCCAGTGGGAAAAACATTCTAGTAAAGGAAAAAGAGTACACATATCTAACAATACGCCTTTTGGTTGCCTCGTTAAAAACCTTGCAAGCAAAACCCAGTGGGACAAAACCTTGTAAGGGAAAAAGAGTGCAACGCGCATTAACTCCCCCTGATGAGAGCATCAATTCACATCCTTGAGCCTTCGCATTTCAATCTTGTGCACCATCTTCAAAAGATCTTTGGTAGAGATTTAATGAACAAATCAGCCATATTAACTTGAATGAATCTGTTGCACATTGATATCACCATTCTTTTGAAGATCATGTGTGAAAAATAACTTCGGTGAAATGTGCTTTGTCCTATCTCCTTTTATGAATCCTCCCTTCAATTGAGCTATGCATGCTGCATTGTCTTCATACAAAATCGTGGGTAGTTTGTCACATTTCACACCATATTTGTCTCGAATAAGATGTATTATAGACCTCAACCACACACATTCTCGACTTGCTTCATGAATAGCAATTATCTCAACATGATTAGATGAAGTAGCCACAATTGATTGCTTAGTCGATCGCCAAGATATGGCAGTGCCTCCACAGGTAAACACATAACCTGTTTGAAACTGAGACTTGTGTGGGTCAGATAAATACCCAGCATCGGCATAACCAACAAGATCGGGACTGCAATTATTGCCATAAAATAAGCCCATATCGGTAGTCCCTTTTAGATACCGCAATATGTGTTTGATTCCATTCCAGTGTCTCCTTGTGGGAGCAGAGCTATATTTTGCTAAGACATTAACTGAAAAAGTTATGTCAAGCCTCGTAGTGTTAGCAAGATACATTAGTGCACCAATTGCACTAAGATATGGTACTTCAGGACCAAGTAGCTCTTCATTCTCTTCTTGAGGTCGGAATGGATCCTTATTCACATCAAGTGATCGAACAACCATCGGAGTACTTAATGGATGTGCTGCATCCATGTAAAACCGTTTCAATACCTTTTCTATATAGGCAGATTGATGAACAAAAATTCCGTTTGCCAAATGTTCAATTTGCAAACCTAGACATAATTTTGTCTTTCCGAGATCTTTCATCTCGAATTCCTTCTTTAAATAATCAATTGCCTTTTGGAGTTCTATAGGAGTTCCAATAAGGTTTATGTCATCAACATATACGGCAAGTACAACAAATTCCGATGTTGTTTTCTTTATAAAAACACATGGGCAAATGGCATCATTTAGATAGCCTTCCTTTAATAAATACTCACTAAGACGATTATACCACATTCGTCCTGATTGCTTTAGACCATACAAAGATCTTTGCAATTTGATTGAAAACATTTCCCGGGACTTTGAATTATGTGCGTTTGGCATTTTAAATCCATCGGGAATTTTCATGTATATCTCATTATCAAGTGAGCCATAAAGGTAGGCGGTAACCACATCCATTAAATGCATGTCAAGCTTTTCATGGACAGCAAAACTAATGAGATAACGGAAAGTTATAGCATCCATAACGGGTGAATATGTCTCTTCATAATCGACACCAGGCCTTTGTGAAAATCCTTGTGCAACAAGGCGTGCCTTATATATTTGTACCTTGTTTTTCTCATTTCTCTTGCGTACAAAGACCCATTTATAGCACATGCTTAACACCATTAGTGTTTGGACTATAGGCCCAAAACTATTCAGTTTTCGCCGTGAATTCAACTCTGATGTGATTGCTTCTTGCCATTTTGGCCAATCTGTCTTTGTCGACTTCTCCAACAGATTGAGGTTCAGATCTCTTATCTTTCATAATGCTATATGCAACATTATATGCAAAGACTATATCCACCACTATATCAATCGACTTCAAATTTTGTCTCGATATGATTGGATTTATCGTATAGTTTTCCTTATTTTTTTTGAGTCTCGGGTCTCAGTGTGTTTCCCTCATGAATCTCAGAATTTGTTAAATCGGGGATTTCTTCTCATGAGACTCTTTCGTAGTGCCAAATCATTTGTTTTCCTTTTTCTAGGATTTCGATCTTTGGAACCCAATGGTCTGCCACGTTTTAGGCGTGCTTTTGACTCATTTAGCTATGACACTAGAAGATTGTCCAATAGGGACATCAATCGGATTGGAAACATTCTCTGCAGGAATATGGATTTTGTTATCCTTTTCAGATCCGTAAATGCATTCTGGCATTTGCCATTTTGCTATTTTTTTTGCTAAATGAATTAATCTTTTGTCACCTCTTTTTCACAATAGAGGCACGTGGATCAAGATGAGACAATGATGAGTTTTTTCACAAATTTCCCGTTGGTTTCACCATTTTCTCCCCCTAATTTTGGAAAAAGTGTCTCATCGAATCGGCAGTCTGCAAATCGAGCAGTGAATAAATCCCCCGTTAATGTTTCAAGATAGCGAATAATGGAGGGCGATTCAAACCCAACATATATTCCTAACCTTCTTTGGGGACCCATTTTTGTGCGATATGGCGGTGCTGCAGGCACATATATTGCGCATCCAAATATTCTTAAATGGGATATATTAGGTTCATGACCCAAAACTAATTGTAACGGGGAATATTTATGATAATTTGTCTGTCCGAGACGAACTAGCATTGCTGCATGCAAAATGGCGTGACCCCAAACAGAAGTGGGCAGCCTCGTTTTCATGAGTAACGATCTTGCTATCAATTGCATACGTTTAATTAAAGACTCTGCAAGGCCATTTTGAGTGTGAACATGAGCTACAGGATGTTTCACTTTTATCCCAATTGATAAGCAGTAATCATTAAATGCTTGGGATGAAAACTCAGCAGCATTATCAAGTCTAATAGACTTAATTGGATTATCGGGGAATTGCGCCCGTAATCAAATTATTTGTGCCATTAATTTTGCAAACGCGAGGTTGCGTGATGACAATAGGCACACATGAGACCATCTAGAAGATGCATCTATTAAGAGCATGAAATATCTAAACGACCCACTAGGTGGGTGAATAGGTCCACAATTGTCCCCTTGTATACGTTCCAAAAACGCAGGGGACTCAATTCCAACCTTTGTTGGTGATGGTCTAATAATTAACTTGCCTTGATAACAAGAAGTGCAAGAAAATTCATTATTTAAAAGAATCTTTAAATTCTTTAATGGATGCCCATTTGAGTTTTCTATAATCCGTCTCATCATAATTGATCCAGGATGTCCCAATCGATCATGCCAAAGTACAAAAGTATTGGAATCAGTAACCTTTTGGTTTACAATAGAATGTGCCTCAATTGCACTAATTCTTGTCCAATACAGGCCACAAGATAAAGATGGGAACTTCTCAATAGCCCTTTTCTGGCCAGAGACATTTTTGGTAATAATGAGATATTCAAGATTATTCTCATCTATTGTCTCAATATGATATCCAT